CAAAAGAATAGCCTTACATACCCTAGACATAACACCTCCACCATTGAACATTCTCCATATTACTCTGGCATAAAATTGTATAATAGCCTGCCTAGCACCATAAAGGGTTTGACAGATTTTAAAAGATTTAAAACCAGTTGTTCAAATTGTTGTCAGATAAATGCTGCTACAAGATTGGGGACTTTTTCAATTAGATATTAGTATGTCAAATCAATAGTTAGTTGTAATGGTTGAACAGTAAGTAGTTGTAGGGGGGAAAGTGTATACATATAGATTATAGCTCTTAATTAATTAGTGTAGTAAATTTGCCAAATGTATAGTTATGTTAATTCTTGACTTGACACAATTCATGTATAGAAATGTACTGTTTGAATAAAGGATTTTTTGATTTGATTTGATTTGATTTAATTATTCCCGTCACTGCCGTGGGATAAGATTGAGAAGTAGTCCCAGTTCTTCACAACAAGTTCAACAATTGCTTCATGCACAGTTAGTGTGTCAGGTGAATTATGAATGAGAGTGAAGTAAATAAACTCGCACCATCTCCTCTGATGTGAATGATATTGTATAGAACAAACTCGTCATTAACATTTAAAACCTCAGAGTCCTTTGTCCATACTATGAAACGGTTTAAACAACTACAAAAATATTAACATAAGATCTTAAAAGTTAAAATACAATAAAAAACTAAGTTAATTCTACTTTCTTTGACACTATTCACAGCTATTAGAAGTGGATAAAACTAAAATTCCACAATAAATTAGGTTAATTTCACTGACACACAGCTATGATGTTTATATGGTACTAAATAACCTTAAAAAACTTAATTTTTACTGTAACAGCTGATGATTAAATAAATTGCAGACAAATGTAAACAACAAACCAAAACAAATTTTTCTTCCTATACGAACTCCATGCTAACTTTGACCTTCTGTGGGGCGAGGCCCATTGGGAATTTTGTAAAATCGCTTCTTATTGTCTGTCTACGCTATGAAAAGAATATGTATGCAAAATCTCATACTTCTAGGTGCTGTGGTTTGGCCTGTGCGTTGATCGGAATTTTGCATTTATATACTGTATTAGAGATGGATGCAACTTCTCTTCATATCTCTCTGTTCATTCAGGCATACTACAAGGATCAATTCCAGGACCTACTATGTTTATTGTTTATATAAATGATTTAACTTCTGCAATACCGGTAAGTGATGATAATGTTGAATCTTATATGTATGCTGATGATTTAGCTGTCCAGATAAATTGTAAATGTTCTTACTTAATTAAAAATCTTCTACACTAACTCTGTAATCGAGGATTGGACTGGCCAATTCATTGTGTACAAATAGTAGCAAAACACAGAATATTGAATTAAGTTTATCAAGTACCTGTTCAGATAGTGTTAAGTTTTTGGGAGTATTGGTACAGCCTAATATTAAGTGGGATTCTCAGATTGATATAATTTGTAAAAAAAATGCCAAGGGTACAACATTTATGATTAGAAAACTTAGACCTTTTGTTAGTATAGATGTGTTGAAATCCATTTATTTTGCTCACATTCAATGCCCTATATAGTATTGTTGTGTGGGGTCATTCTGGTAGTATTAAAAAGCGCTGCGATTGTCGCAAAAGAAAGCTGTAAGAGCAATATTCAATGTTGACAGTGGAAACACATATTGTAAGTGCCATTATTCAAGAAACTTGGAATTTTAACTGTCACTTCTCTGTACATTTTAGATTGTTTATTGTATATTAAAAATAATATTAGAGAGTTCCCTACAAATGATTCAGGTCATAACCATTTTACCAGACAAAACTCTTTTCTCCGTCCAAACTAAATGTAATTTTATGACCACAATCAATAACTTTAGTGAATACCTGCTCACATTAAATGTCTTGAAATAAAACAATTTAAATTTACTATTAGAAAGATTTTGTGTGATTTATGTGTGTATAAGGTCAAAGAATTTGTAGAACATATTAAGTAGGTTAATGGAAATATTGTGATGAAAACTGTATGACGTTGCTATACATGTATTTATAATGTTGTTGGCAATAAATAGATTTGATTTGACGATATTTAGGAACAGCCCTCAATATATGGGACTTAGATTGTACAATGAATTACCCCTGTATCTAAAAAATTTGCTACTCAATTCAAAGATAAAATAATTGATAAAGTCTAGGCCTACTATTGACTTGACGAATTTTTGGAGAACCTATCTAGTGTAGATAAAAATTCACTGATATCCTACATGAGATTATTTTAATTATTTTAACTACCGTACCTACTGTATTAATTAAAAAAACATCACTATGACGAAACACCTGTTCTTATGTATGAAATGTACTTCATAAAGAACGTTTTGTGTCAATAAAATATGTCTATGTCTATGTCTAGCCCTACTTAATAACTTACTGTACCTGTAGAAGTTACCGCTTCACAATTCCGTTTGATAACAGAAAAGGCATAGGTATGGGGAATAGGCTATCATGAAACAGAATTTTGAAATGTTACAGCAAGTTTGGTTTGTTAGATTAGTTTAGAACAGTTTCATTTCATTATAAAACTTTTTTTATTGTTTGTTGATAACTAACAATATTTATTTATTGTAGTTGTCAGCTGATAAGTTTTAATTTGTCAATATCAATAGGCCTATTGAATAAAAAAATAAAATATCAATATATCAAAAAGAAATCATTGATAATAATGAATGTTCCCTTTAACAGGAAAGTAGAGTTTGAGCGTTTCTTCGTGAAGCCTGGGTGTGAGGGGCTGTAGTGGCAAGTGGGGAGCCGAGCGCGAGACGGGAAGTTGACGTCGTCATCCTGTTCTGCTAGTCTGACTTAAGACATTTTTCGGAGTTCGGACGCGGTGCGGAGGTGGGCACCGGTTCAAGTTGCTCGCACGACAGTTGTGTGATGGCTATTTTCAATAGGCCTACTGTAAATATCAACTTTTTAGGTACCGTACGGTACCTAATTAAGAGGAATATGAAAATGATTATGAACTGAGGTTAGCATATTTTTATAAAATTCTCTCTATATTAAAATTTAGAGTAGGCTATTTCTAATACTCCAAAATTTACTCGTTAATGAGCCAGAGATTTTTTGTAGGCAAAAACAAGTACAAATAATTCATTACAAGGCCTATTACCTATACGAAACTATGGCTTAAACTTACCTAAAAAATTTTATTTTCACACCACTGCAAACTTAAAAATAAGTTACACCTTTGACAGGTTGGATATGAGGATATATTCCTGTATAGAAAACAAACCAAATAAACATAAAACATTGATTTCTACTCAAATCAACAATACACTAAGAAATTACAGCCCTTAGTTCACAATTCCCCCAGTTCACAATTATACCCACATTCACCCTAGGTTGGTTGTTAGGTGTGGATTCTTGACTGTATTAAGTCCTTTGAAGGTAGGTTAGATTAGGGAAGTTAAAGTTTAGGTTATAGCCTAATGAATCGAGTTGTTGATTAGGCCCTATCTCCAGACTGTTTTTGCACTTTGTAAAAAGTATTACAAACACAATCATTACTTATTACACTTAAATTATTATTTATTGTGTTTGTGATACTTGTACAATGTGCATAAACAGTCTGGAGATAATAACAACTCGATTCATTATAACCTAAACTTAACCTTCCTAATGTAACCTAACTTCAAAACACTTAGGCTAATACAGTCACGAATCCGCATTTTTAACATCCAACCTACCAACCTCACAATACCTATGTCTAACTTAAATAAGAACTGAAGTAATTCATAGGTAAGTAATCAACGTTCAGTTTAATTTACAAATGCCTCTACCTCTTTGTATGAACTTACTGTTAGTCGTTAGTCATCTTAGGTTTTTTCTTCTTCCCTAGACGATCATTTCAATCGTTCATGTTTGTGTTAGTCAGTCTTCTAGTCAGTTAAGTTAACAGTAGTAATGGTGACAGAGACCAGGTCCGACAAGAGGCATTACAGTAATAGAATTCAAAAAATCGTAGTTAATTCAGTTTCTGTGACAGCAGCCCTAATTTTTTCATGATTAATGGTGTTGAAAAGGGGAAAATCGTAGTTCTATAAAATGAAATTGTCGTAACCTAACCTAACTAGGTTAACTTGACCAAACTTGCTGATAATTAAAAATTTGCATGAAGATTTACTAATTGAATCGATATTAGCATATCCCAGTTAAGAAACTGTAAATTAGGGTACACTTCCATATCTGTTGACACAAACAACCGAATGAGTAGGCCTAATATTGATTATTCGATATATCGTTTGGTTAGTTAGGTTAGGTTAACCTTACCTAACTAACCAAACGATCGAATAATCGATATATCGATCAATATTTTCATTCGGTTGTTTGTGCTAACAGATACTTATGGAAGTGTACCCGAAAGTTACCCTAAAGATTAACTTAAAAGAGCTGAATAGGCCTAGGCCTAAAATTTCAAAAACTTTTTTTTATACAGCCAATTTTATTTGGGGTCCACTAGAGCCCCATGCGCACCCCAGCAAAAAAAAACGGGCGTGTGCACTTAAAGGTTAACTTACCTAGGCTACTGCAATTAAGTTTAAGTTAACTTAGTCCTAGCCTAGTCTAGGTGGGTACCTAGGCCTACTGTAGGCGTAAATAAGTTATAAAAGCTTTGGGACACTAAGTTAGTGTCACAACAATCACAACAAAATGAATAACTTAGGGCTTAGTGTAAAAACATGGTAACTTGGGTAGTGGTCTATGTTTAGGCATTGGGCAGTTAGTTATGCCTACATATCCTCAGGCCTAGCCTCTATCAACCAGCCTAGGCAATTCCAATAAGCCAAGTACAATTTGTACAACCATATTTAGAGCCTGCTTGAGTTTACATGATTCATTTCATGTTTTGAAACAATTCTTAAGTGCTCTAAAACATTAACTTAATCGAGAAGTGCAGAACACTACATAAAGCTATTTAGCCTATTAGCTGAATAATTGAGGCCATGAGCTTAGCTTACCTATTGACTGCAGCAAGAAACAAAGACTGGCCACGCTGACTTCGGCTTACACAAAACTAGAAAGTTTATCACGTAGAAATGTAATTCCTAATTTATACACTCGACTATAATAAGCGTTGCAATTATAGCAATTCACTAAGAACTAAAAACGACAGTGCATCACAGATTTAAGTAAGTAATTATGCGATATTGAGAAAATTCCAACTTCGATATCACCACTTAGTCAAGATGGCGGCAGTTCTCGTCAATTCTCGTTATGTGGATATGAAGACGGGATTTGACGAGAAAACAGCCCTATTAAAACCAAAGATGGCATAAAAACAAAATGCCACTCCCTTTGAAGCTAAAGTGAACTTTACACGCAATGCCATCGATTTAGAGTAATCCGAGGCCACACTAAAAAAAGGTTTTTTTAGTGTGGCCTTGAGTAATCCTACTATGGTTTTATGGTTATTGTACAATAAATGTACATGTTGACCACAGTTTAGATCCAGCTTAGGTGCAACCCCCTAGTTTTAAGATTTCTTTTATTAATGTACAATGTGTATGGACGAAATGGGACCTTTTAAAAATGTTTAATGATTTGACGAAACCAGACATCTTATTTTTGAGGGAGCACTAGCTCAAATTCTCAATCTTTTAGTGTGATTGGTGACAAAACCATGGCAAATGTTTTCACTAGGTCTGAAAAAAACGGGGGCGTTGCCATATAATGTAAACTAGCTGTTTATTTAGTCAATTCTGTTACCCACGGGCTCCAACCCGTTTGACTTCATAAGTATTAATACAACTATTTAATTGAATTAATTGGTTAAGTTAAGTCATAGATAATATAAAACATAATTAGTAATTAATTTAAAACAAAATATAAAACATAGATGACATAATAACTTAAAACTTAACCAAGATTTGGACATAAACAAGACATGTGATGAATTGTTCTACATTTTATTCTACATTTTTATTTGCTTTTGACTCATGCTTTCCCTTGAGGAAGCTGGAAATAAAATACCCCCGCCGCAGCAAACCTGCAGACTAAGCGAATTTCCATTTGACTGATTGGATTTACACTGAAATGTCTACTTACAAATATAACATTTATTCTTGATTTAAATAGAATTAGTTTAACAAGTACTTAGGTTTGCTGCATCAGGGAGGGTAAAACTGTTTTTTTTTGTAAAATGTGAATAGTTAGTAAGAAATAAAAACATTTTCCAAATTTGATCAAGATATGTTCACAAACAAGCAAACTACAACAGTTTACTTATTCTCCATTCTCCATAAGAATAACATGGGAATTTTAAATTTACAATTTTTTGGAATTTTCTCCGTAACCATTAGGCGCATAATAACGCTTCAATATACTAAATTATTTGTTTTTTTAAGCTCTACAAAATGGTTTGGAAAGAAATTGCTAAATTTTATGTTTTTTGGGTCAAAAATGGAAAAAACCTATTTTTACCCCATAAAACCCCCCGTAAACCCCCGTTCCCATGGTCCGATCATGCTGGATCGCGAACTCGTTCGAATAAATGTAGGTTTACACGTTTGTACCAAATTTCATCAAAATCGGATAATTTTTGCTCGAGTTATTGTGCTGACGGACACACATATATATATATATATATATATATATAAATATATATATATATATGAATTTGAATGGATGGTGTTTTTGGCCTCTAGGGACCTCAAAACAAAAATAAAAATCGGTCCCGCGTCCAGGTCTTACCATGAGTACTACGGTAATAGCTTATTCCCTATATGGGAAATTCGCTAAAAATGTAATAATACAGGATGGATGAATGATGAACTGCAGAAATCTCAGGAGAGAGTGATGAACACCTATTGGGAGACTAGACAATCGAAAAATGATAATGAAATAAAAATTAGATATAAAAATGAAATAAGAAGACACTCTCAGCTGGTTGAAAACTCTAAAAAAAATTTCTACAGAGATAAAATTGTAAATTCCAAAAATGTGAGCAGGGAGTCGTGGAGGGTTGTCAGGGACCTGACGGATGATGGTGCGGGCGGCTGCGAAAACATGTCCATGTTGGAGGGTGATAGGCTAATTCACGACCCCTTTGAGGTTGCACAGTTGTTTAATTCTTTTTTTGTGGAGAAAGTAAATAGGATTGCTGCTGCTGCGTCGACTGGAGTTGATCTAAATGATGCAAATATAAATGAAGTGGAAATGAACCTGCCCCATACGACAGAAGAAGAGGTGATGTCTGTTCTAAGTCACGTAGGAAGAGGAAAATGCGCTGGAATTGATGAGTTACCTTGCTACTTACTTAAATATTGTAACACCATTGTTGTAAAACCCCTTACAAAAATAATTAATAAATCACTAAGCACAGGAGTGTTTCCAAATCAAATAAAAACTTCAAAAGTTGTACCAATTCATAAGAAGAATGAAAAGAAACTTGTAAATAACTACAGACCTGTTGCTGTACAATCGGTTTTCTCTAAGGTCTTTGAGATTATTTTCATAAATAGACTTATAAATTATTTAGAAATAAATCATGTTATTACTGATAAACAATTTGGATTCCGTAAGGGTAAATCTACGTCTGATGCCATTTTTACACTCTTGGGGTCAGTCTATAAAAATCTGGATCTTATGGAAGAAACTCTTTGTCTATTCTATGATATGACTAAAGCGTTTGACTGCATAAATCATTGTAAACTGAGGATTAAACTAATTAGCATGGGAATAAGAAATACAGCTTTAGATTGGATAATGTCTTTTCTTCAAGATCGAACACAAGTAGTTTCTATAAAATATACAGATTCAAACCAGACATCAAAATTTGTCAAGTCAAAACTTTCTCCTTTGATAAACACAGGTGTCCCGCAAGGTTCAAACCTCGGGCCTATAATTTTCCTGCTTTTTATTAACGATCTGCCATGCTCAGTGACAAAGGGTAATATTTGGCTCTTTGCAGACGACATCAGTCAACTATTTACAGGAAAAGTTATCAAAGAAGTAATTGATGAAGCTCGACAGGGAATAAATGAAATTGTTTCATGGTGCAGCTCAAATGGATTAACACTAAATCAAAGCAAAACAAATGTTCTTCATTTTTACAATAGGAAAATTCCAAATTGTTCACCTTTACTCAAAATGAATGGAAATAGCATCAAAATCAACCATAGTACCAAATATCTTGGAATTACAATTACAGAAAATTTGCACTGGACTGAACATATTGATAGTATGATAAAACGTTTGAAAGTTGTATACTGCTTAGTAAGAAGACTCCAAAACATAGTTGATCAAGAAGTATTACTAAAAATATACTATGGGTGCTTTCAGAGTGTAATAGCCTATGGCGTACTCTTTTGGGGAAATAGCCCTGATGCAAAGAGAGTTTTTATCCTACAGAAAAGAATAGTTAGAACAATTTGTAAGCAACATTACTTAACACCATGTGCACCTTTTTTTAAATCACTGCAAATTTTAACCTTACCGTCTCTTTACATATTTGAAGCAGCAGTAACAGTTAAGAAATCTCCCCAATGCTTTATTCAAAATTACAACGTCCATAACATTAATACGAGACAGAAGAAAAATTTACATGTACCTCAGATTAATTCAACTTTAGCAAGAAATACCTCACTATCAGTGTGTAACAATTTTTAATAGACTACCAAATGAGATTAAGGAAGAACCTTCGATGGAATCCTTCAAAGAAAAATTGAAGAATATATTAACGGAATCCCCGTTATATAAAATTGAAGACTTTATGGCAAATCCATAGAAAAGAAATGAAAAGAAAAAAAACTGACGTCCACGGCGCAGCAGCGCTTCCAGTGGCAACACATCAAGTATCAAGTATCAAAGTAAGTATATACTAGGCCCGTTTTAAAAAAAAGGCAACGCAAGAAGCATTTAATGTAACAATTGGGGAAACAACGTTTTAAGGGTATTTCGACCCCGCTGAGTACGAATCTGCATGTTACCAACGCGAAATTTGAACCAGAAGTGCGGTATCCAAGATGGCGGCCAAAACTCTGTTTGCCCTATATCTCCCTTGTTAGTTGGCCTAAAATAATGGTGTAAACGTGTATATAGGGGTTTTTCAAATGCCAAACACATTACAACACTCAAAATGTACTTAAATTAAGTTTTGAGGGCATAGCTTCCAAAATGGCGCCCAAGATGGCCGCCAAAAACTCTAATTTTCGCATATCTCCCTTGTGTTTTGGCTTAAAATATTTATTTAGACGTCTGCGTAGGGGTTTTCTCGGATGCCAAATACATTGCAACACCCAAAATTTACTTACATTAAGTTTTGGGGGCATATATTAAGATGGCACCCGAGCTTGATAGATAGAACAACGTACTCGCTGGAGGAGCTGAGTGAAGAGCCCCTAAAAGTTATATAAAAGCCCTTCCTTAAAAATGGGGAACACGTTTTATTTACCGCCATAGCCTGATTAGGTTTTTATGTATGTAAATAGTAGTGTTTATTTTTAAATGTATATATAATATAATAACGCATTCCATCCAACATTGTCGGTCAACGACGCAGCACACAAGTATCAAGTATCAAGAGATGGCTTCCAAAAACTCTTATTTCCGTATATACAAGGTGACAAAAAAGTCTGGAAACGGCTTGATATCTTTTTAACTAAATTCGTTAGAAAATTCAAACCTTTCACAATAGTATGAAAACTACTTTTTGCAAGCATTACCATTTTTTTACCTTCACCAGGGGACGGCCTATGAGGAGTAGGTACATAATCTTTAATGTAAGCAAAGGTTGATATGCACATCATTTTAAAGGGTTAGTCGAGTGGAGTTCATTGCCAGAAACCGCGTCAGAAAAGGTTCATCCGCTACGAAATGGCGGCAGTCCAAAGTTCTTGCGGAATATACCTGCACAGGCCTTAGTATTGGTAAATACTCATAGTCAACATTAGCCGGTAAATCTGAAACCCGGTTAAATTTGTATGGAATATTGAATAAACTTAGTCTATGAGCTAGTTATGTCATTCGCCAGAGAATCATTTCCTGATGCGCTGAAGGTGTCAGTGGTCAGGCCTGTATATAAAAAGGGAGATCCAAAGCTCTGCAACAGCTATAGGCCCATATCTCAGTTGTGTCTATATTTTTAAAGATATTTGAAAAAATCATGATGAATAAGCCATGGGACTTTTTGACAATAAATAATATTATATCCGAAAACCAGCATGGATTTACTAAGGGTAAATCTACTACCTCAGCGATGTTTCAACTGATGAGGTGGTTTGTGAATTAGATGCTGCAAATTACTCAGCTGGTTTGTTTTTCGACTTAAGCAAGGCGTTTGACACAGTGGACCATAACTTATTGCTCGATAGGATGAGTAATGTGGGCGTAAGTGGATCGGTTAAAAATAATAAAAATACTTGTATTAACAATTATAACCTAAAAACAAAAGTGAATTTTATTGATCAATACATACATCATGATTCGAGCCCATTGTTAAAGCAATTTTCTTGAGTCTTTCCATCTCTATTTATTTGATTTGCTTGCCATTTGCTATTCTTTTTTATTTTTTTGATCCTCTCAATGGGAAATGGCTCTATCAGCAAGCCCTCGTCGGTTTTACCCTTGACAAAGCTACATAAGTCAAGCCGAGGGAAAATTCTGTCTTGCCTTGGTCGACCACAGCCTGATCTACATAGTACATCATTGGCTGCGATGAACCGAAATAGCATAGGCAAGATTTAGTGGAAATTTACTTCGAGAACATTGGACACCATTCAGTTTAAAGGAAACAGTTACTGTGAGAGGATAGGCAACAACCCGTTGTACAATGTAGGTCCAATATAATTTTCAAACTGTACCAAAACGCAAATAGGGAAATCTTCTAGATAATTTTCTGTGTCGGTAAATTTGTATAATATCAGCCACAGTACCAATGCTACCATTACATAGGCCTGCAGAAGTCCATATATTTCGAAGTATCACACGACAACCCTTTGAAATAAAAAGGTGTTTGTTAAGGCCTTGGCAGTCATGTTGTCGTTCATAGCATAGTGATTCTCTCTATTATATTGTCAATATGGTAATTCCATCTAAAATTATCACAAATATTAATGCCGAGATATTTAAAACTATCTTGAGGTTTGATATTAACTTGGTCCATTTTAATTAAAGGGCTGTAGTCGGTTTTTTCTGTTATAAAAATGTAGAAATCCAGTTTTTCCTTGATTTAATACCAACTTATTATTATGGCACCAATTAGCCACGCTGTTTACACCGGAGTCTTCTTAATTGATTCAGATGCAGATGGATTTGAGTCGGACACCATATGACAGACGTCATCAGCAATCAGCATAAAGCCATACCTCACCCTGCTGCACAACCTCCGATAGATCATTAACATAAATAGTAAGAAAATAACAGGACCCAAGACCCAAGTTAGAACCCTGCGGAACGCCGGTATTCACATCATGTTGTATCTCTGCCTTGTATCTTCTTATTACATGATCCTCACCAAGGTGTTTGACTACTACCACTTGTGACCTGTCCCTCAGAAATGACATGATCCAATCTAATGGTTGGTTCATCCCACTGAGCTATAATTCTAACTGGAGGTAGCACTGAATGTCAAAGATGCGTGTCGCCACTCGCCAGCCGCCATGTTTTTTGCGTGAGGTGTGAGTTATAAGAAGCCATGTTATTGGATAAGAAAACTCACTGCTATACCAACCTAGTTATAGAAGCCATGTTATTGGATAAAAAAACTCACTGCTATACCAACCTAACAAAATCAGCGACACGCTTTTGACAGACTTCTGCCATGGCAGTGCTACCTCCAGTTATAATTTTAGCTCAGTGGTTCATCCACCCTTTGACAATTTATTTTTTAGTAGGCTATGATTAATGCAATCAAAAGCTTTAGTCATGTCGTAATCGTAAAACAAAGCAAACACATCTTCCATACAATCAATCTTGTCAACATCTTGTCTTGTATACAGTAAAGCTGCATGGTTTACAAACTTAGCCTTAATATGTAAAGGGATATTTTGTTTTAGCGAATTTCTCATAGGGAATAAGCTATCACCGTAGTACCATAGATAAATGTAGTACTCATGGTAAGACCTGGACCCGGGACCGATTTTTTTTTCGTTTTGAGGTCCCTAGAGGCCAAAAACACCATCCGTTCAAATTCATATATATATATATTTATATATATATATTTATATATATATATATATATATATTTATATATATATATATATATTTATATATATATATATATTTATATATGTGTCCGTTAGCGCGATAACTCGAGCAAAAAACGATCCAATTTTGATGAAATTTGGTACAAACGTGTAAACCTACGTTTATTCGAACGAGTTCGCGAACCAGCATGATCGGACCAAGGGAACGGGGGTTTATGGGGGGTTTTATGGGGTAAAAATGGGGTTTTCCCACTTTTGACTCAAAAAACATAAAATTTTGCAATTTCTTTCCAAACTATTTTGTAGAGCTTAAAAAAACAAATAATTTAGTATATTGAAGCGTTATAATGCACCTAATGGTTACGGAGAAAATTAAAAAAAAATTTAAATTTAAAATTCCCATGTTTTTCTTATGGAGAATAAAGTAAACTGTTGTAGTTTGCTTGTTTATTAACATTTTTTGCCCAAATTTGGAAAATGTTTTTATTTCTTACTAACTATTAACATTTTACATAAAAAACACTTTTACCCTCCCTGTTGCAGCAAACATAAGTATGTGTTAAACTGATTCTAATTAAATAGGGAATAAATGTGATATTTTTAAGGAGACATTTTAGTGTAAATCCTATCAGGCAAATTGAAATTCGCTTAGTCTGCAGGTTTGCTGTGGCGGGGGTATTTTGTTATTTGTTTTGTAATGCTAAATGATAGCATTGACTATATAACACTACAAAAGTAGTGTTATATAGTCAATGATGATAGATGGTATTGTTTTTCTTCCTTCGTAAGGGTAGGCTTAGGCTATTTGCTATTACTATTTGTGTCGTCGTGACTGTATTTTTATTATGTCAACACACAATCGTTTCATTATTTTTATTTGATAAGGGACAGATAACCTTCAAACTTCACTCAGTATGCTTAGCCTAAAATGATTTGACTTCCTACTTCCTAGCTTTTTAAAAGCTAATTTGTCTTAAGTTTTACATGACTTGTTTTGTTGGTTACACAAAAATTCATTATCCAAGGAATTGTAGGCCTAGAGTTGACCATTGCAATTTATGGTAGGCCTACTTTCTCTGTTAAAAGGTTAATATTTAATAGTAATCTGACTTTGTTAATCCTACTAGGGATTCTCATGTTACTTTAAAATTAATATTCATATTAATCAAGAGGTAAGTCAACTTAATTTGTTTTTGACTTATTTTACTGATTAGGCCTAGTCTGGGATTATGCCTATAACCTAGGTGTTTAAATTACTTGGTGGATTTATTGGTCGAGATCTCCTGCTAATTCGTTGCTCACTCTCTGTTAGACAATAGACAGTTTCCTTTATTTGTAATTTATTTAAGATAGAATGGCGTCACAAAAATCCAGAATGTTTAACAATTAGGCCTAGATTGTTCGAAAGTTTGATTTTCTTAAAAAAATTTCTTAAGCGAGTAAGTTACACCGGTCGGTCTACAAGCCAGTCCCAGATTTGCTTTTTGAGTTGGTTTCCTGTTGCGTTCTTGAGGTTGTTTGGAAGAGAGTTGATGATTTTGCGGCTAATATAAGAGGGTTTTCTGCTGTATTGTGTAGTGTGGTGGATCGGTAGGCTGTAGTCGGCTGCTCTTCTGGTGTGGTAGGAGTGAAAATTCTAATTTCTGGGAAGATTCAGTTTTTTGTGTACAGGACAACTCCATGGATTTAGAGTGCTGTCACTGTTAGCAGCTTAAGGGTATATTTTTGCTACGGTATTTTTAGGGCGGAGGGAAATTGTCCAAGGCTAAAAGATTTGTTTATCATGCTGACAAATACATTAGAGCTGAGTTTTACCAAGCTGCGAGGTCCGTGAAGTTGGCGTACCCATATTAGCGTATCCACTTTTGATCATTCCAATCGTTAGTTCATCGTTAGTTCTTGATAGTTCCCAAATTTTGTCGTTAGTTCTCAAAAAATAAAAAAGTTATAGCCGATAATAAGTGGGTACGCTAACTTCACACTTCCGGGTTCTAGCGCACGCCGTTTCCTGATGAGAAATGTTTACATCTATATATCAATCGTTAGTTCTTCGTTAGTTCTCGATAGTTCTCCAATATTAATGTTAGTTCTCAAAAAAATAAAGAAGTTACGAGGCATACAAAGTGGGTACGCCAACTTCACAATTATAGAATTTCCAGCGGGCACACTTTTTTGAATAAAAATGCTTACATCTATATACCAATCGTTAGTTCTTCGTTAGTTCTCGATAGTTCTCCAATATTAACGTTAGTTCTCAAAAAATAAAGAAGTTACGAGGCATACAAAGTGGGTACGCCAACTTCACAATTATAGAATTTCCAGCGGGCACACTTTTTTGAATAAAAATGCTTATATCTATATACCAATAGTTAGTTCTTCGTTAGTTCTCGATAGTTCTCCAATATTAACGTTAGTTCTCAAAAAATAAAAAAGTTACGAGGCATACAAAGTGGGTACGCCAACTTCACAATTATAGAATTTCCAGCGGGCACACTTTTTTGAATAAAAATGCTTATATCTATATACCAATCGTTAGTTCTTCGTTAGTTCTCGATAGTTCTCCAATATTAACGTTAGTTCTCAAAAAATAAAAAAGTTACGAGGCATATAAAGTGGGTACGCCAACTTCACAATTATAGAATTTCCAGCGGGCACACTTTTTTGAATAAAAATGCTTACATCTATATACCAATCGTTAGTTCTTCGTTAGTTCTCGATTGTTCTCCAATATTAACGTTAGTTCTCAAAAAATAAAAAAGTTACGAGGCATACAAAGTGGGTACGCCAACTTCACAATTATAGAATTTCCAGCGGTCACACTTTTTTGAATATAAATGCTTACATCTATATACCAATCGTTAGTTCTTCGTTAGTTCTCGATAGTTCTCCAATATTAACGTTAGTTCTCAAAAAATAAAAAAGTTACGAGGCATACAAAGTGGGTACGCCAACTTCACAATTATAGAATTTCCAGCGGGCACACTTTTTTGAATAAAAATGCTTACATCTATATACCAATCGTTAGTTCTTCGTTAGTTCTCGATAGTTCTCAAATATTAACGTTAGTTCTCAAAAAATAAAAAAGTTACGAGGCATACAAAGTGGGTACGCCAACTTCACAATTATAAAATTTCCAGCGGGCACACTTTTTTGAATAAAAATGCTTACATCTATATACCAATCATTAGTTCTTCGTTAGTTCTCGATAGTTCTCCAATATTAACGTTAGTTCTCAAAAAATAAAAAAGTTACGAGGCATACAAAGTGGGTACGCCAACTTCACAATTATAGAATTTAAAGCGGGCACACTTTTTTGAATAAAAATGCTTACATCTATATACCAATTGTTAGTTCTTCGTTAGTTCTCGATTGTTCTCCAATATTAACGTTAGTTCTCAAAAAATAAAAAAGTTACGAGGCATACAAAGTGTACGCTAACTTCACAGTTATACAATTTCCAGCGGGCACAGTTTTTTGAATAAAAATGCTTATACCTATATACCAATCGTTAGTTCTTTGTTAGTTCTCGATAGTTTTTCAATATTTACGTTAGTTCCCAAAAATAAAAAAAAGTTACGAGGCATACAAAGTGGGTACGCCAACTTCACAATTATAGAATTTCCAGCGGGCACACTTTTTTGAATAAAAATGCTTACATCTATATACCAATCGTTAGTTCTTCGTTAGTTCTCGATTGTTCTCCAATATTAACGTTAGTTCTCAAAAAATAAAAAAGTTACGAGGCATACAAAGTGGGTACGCCAACTTCACAATTATAGAATTTCCAGCGGGCACACTTTTTTGAATAAAAATGCTTACATCTATATACCAATCGTTAGTTCTTCGTTAGTTCTCGATAGTTCTCCAATATTAACGTTAGTTCTCAAAAAATAAAAAAGTTACGAGGCATACAAAGTGGGTACGCCAACTTCACAATTATAGAATTTAAAGCGGGCACACTTTTTTGAATAAAAATGCTTACATCTATATACCAATTGTTAGTTCTTCGTTAGTTCTCGATTGTTCTCCAATATTAACGTTAGTTCTCAAAAAATAAAAAAGTTACGAGGCATACAAAGTGTACGCTAACTTCACAGTTATACAATTTCCAGCGGGCACAGTTTTTTGAATAAAAATGCTTATACCTATATACCATTCGTTAGTTCTTTGTTAGTTCTCGATAGTTTTTCAATATTTACGTTAGTTCCAAAAAATAAAAAAAAGTTACGAGGCATACAAAGTGGGTACGCCAACTTCACAATTATAGAATTTCCAGCGGGCACACTTTTTTGAATAAAAATGCTTACATCTATATACCAATCGTTAGTTCTTCGTTAGTTCTCGATTGTTCTCCAATATTAACGTTAGTTCTCAAAAAATAAAAAAGTTACGAGGCATACAAAGTGGGTACGCCAACTTCACAATTATAGAATTTCCAGCGGGCACACTTTTTTGAATAAAAATGCTTACATCTATATACCAATCGTTAGTTCTTCGTTAGTTCTCGATAGTTCTCAAATATTAACGTTAGTTCTCAAAAAATAAAAAAGTTACGAGGCATACAAAGTGGGTACGCCAACTTCACAATTATAAAATTTCCAGCGGGCACACTTTTTTGAATAAAAATGCTTACATCTATATACCAATCGTTAGTTCTTCGTTAGTTCTCGATAGTTCTCCAATATTAACGTTAGTTCTCAAAAAATAAAAAAGTTACGAGGCATACAAAGTGGGTACGCCAACTTCACAATTATAGAATTTAAAGCGGGCACACTTTTTTGAATAAAAATGCTTACATCTATATACCAATTGTTAGTTCTTCGTTAGTTCTCGATTGTTCTCCAATATTAACGTTAGTTCTCAAAAAATAAAAAAGTTACGAGGCATACAAAGTGTACGCTAACTTCACAGTTATACAATTTCCAGCGGGCACAGTTTTTTGAATAAAAATGCTTATACCTATATACCAATCGTTAGTTCTTTGTTAGTTCTCGATAGTTTTTCAATATTTACGTTAGTTCCCAAAAATAAAAAAAAGTTACGAGGCATACAAAGTGGGTACGCAAACTTCACAATCATACAATTTCCAGCGGGTACAGTTTTCTGACTATAAATGCTTATATCTATATACCAATCGTTAGTTCTTCGTTAGTTCTCGATTTTTCTCAAAAACGTACCCTCAACTATTCTTTCAAACATTCACAGCATCGTTCTTAAACAGTTTCAAAATACGTTCAAAATTAAAAGTGTTAGGTTATTAATATATACCGAGAATAAATATTGTTATCTTATGATAAATTAGTTATAGTAAAATATTAATTGAAATTTAGTTTAATGATTTGAAAAAAAGGGATTTTATTCAAGTTCCATGCCTTTAGCCGGCTCCAGACTGTACCCACGCAAAGTACAGAACAGCAACTCGCCGAATCGCAAGTAGTATGACAGCAAATGCTCGTGCTCGTGTTTTCCGTTCATTGCCGGTATTTTTGCACACATCAAAGTGAAGGAATATTTTTGCCATTCTCGAACCGAACAGTTGGTGGGAAAACAACACATGTGTGTAGACACATGTAGATATAGATATAAGCATTTATAGTCAGAAAACTGTGCCCGCTGGAAATTGTATGATTGTAAAGTTTGCGTACCCACTTTGTAGTATGCCTCGTAACTTTTTTTTATTTTTTTTTAGAATTTTTTTTAGAACGAACGTTAATATTGGAGAACTATCGAGAACTAACGAAGAGCTAACGATTTGTATATAGATATAAGCATTTTTATTCAAAAAAGTGTGCCCGCTGGAAATTCTATAATTGTGAAGTTGGCGTACCCACTTTATATGCCTCGTAACTTTTTTATTTTTTGAGAACTAACGTTAATATTGGAGAACTATCGAGAACTAACGAAGAACTAACGATTGGTATATAGATATAAGCATTTTTATTCAAAAAAGTGTGCCCGCTGGAAATTCTATAATTGTGAAGTTGGCGTACCCACTTTGTATGCCTCGTAACTTTTTTATTTTTTGAGAACTAACGTTAATATTGGAGAACTATCGAGAACTAACGAAGAACTAACGATTGGTATATAGATATAAGCATTTTTATTCAAAAAAGTGTGCCCGCTGGAAATTCTATAATTGTGAAGTTGGCGTACCCACTTTGTGTGCCTCGTA